ATGGGTGGTGGTGGTGGTATGTGGGTTGGCAGTGGTATGGGAGGTAGTGAAGGAATGCGTGGCGGTGGCGGTATCGGTGATGGCTCCATTATGGATGGTGGCAGCAGAATAAGTGGTGATGGCGGTTTAAGTGAAGGTGGCAGTACAGAAAGCAGTGGAAGGAGGGGTGGTGGTCATTAGAGCTGGAGGTGTCAGTAGAGGTAGTGGTGGCAGAAGAGGTCGTGTTGGAATAGAGGTGGAGGTGGCAGTAGAGGTGGTGGGGACAGTAGAGGTAGTGGTGGAATAGGTGGTGGTGGTGGTACTGGTGGTGGTGGCAGTAGGGTGGTGGTGGCAGTAGAAATTGTGGAGGTAGTAGAGGTGGTGGCAGTGGTATGGGTGGTAATTGTACTATGGGGTTAGCGGTGGTATGGGTGAGGCGGAGGCGCAGGTGGTGGTGGCTGTATAAGTGAAGGTGGGAAGATAGGAGATGGTGGTGACATTAGAGGTAGAGGTGGCAGTAGAGATAGTGGCTGCAAAAGAGGTCCTGGAAGTAGAGGTGCAGGTGGCAGTAGATGTGGAGTTGTCAGTAGAGGTGGTGGTGGCAGTAGAGATTGTGGTGGTGGTAGAGGTGGTTGCGTCAGTATAGGTGGTGGTGGTGGGATGGTTTCTGGCCGTGGGATGGGTGGTGATGGCATTATGGGTAGTGGCAGCGGTATGTGTGGTGGTGGCAGTATAACTGAAGGTTGCAGTATAGGTGGCAGTGGAATGAGAGGTGGCGGTGGCAGTAGATGCAATGGTGGCAGTAGAGGTGGAGTTAGTAGTAGAAGTGGTGGTGGCAGTAGAGGTGGCAGAGGCAGTAGAGGTGGAAGTGGCAGTGGATGTAGTAGTGTCAGTAGTGGTGGCGGCAGCAGAATAGGTGCAGTGGCCATAAGTGTATTGTCGGTGGTACGGGGGCTGAAGGCAATAGAAGTGGTGGAAGCAGTAGAGGTGGTGGCAGTGGTAGAGGTAGTGACAGTGGTATGGGAGGTGGTGGCTCTACAGGTGGTGATGGTGGTATGGGAGGTAGTGGCCATATGGGTGAAGTGGATGTATGAGCGGTGTCAGAGGTATGGGTGATGGTGGTGGTATGTGTGGTGGTGGCAATGAGGTAGGTGGTGTCAGGGGTATAAGTGATGGTGCTAAACATAGGTGGTGTGGTGGTATAGGTGGTGGCTGCATAATAGGTAGTGGTGGCCATATAGGTGGTGGCAGTGGAATAGGTGGTTGTGGCGGTATAGGTGATGGTGGCGGTAGAGGTGGTGGCAGCAGTATATGTGATGTCATCGGTTTAGGTGGTAGTGGAAATATAGGTGTTGGTGGTGGTATAGGTGATGGTGGGAGTATAGGTGGTGGTGGTTTTATGAGTGGTGCCGGTGGTATGTTCAGTGGCAGTATGAGTGGTGGCAGCTGTAAGGTAGTGGTGGCAGTCTATGTGGTAACAGCAATATAAGTGAAGGTGGCAGTATAAGTGGCAGTGGAATTAGAGGTGATGGTGGCAGTAGAGGCAGTGGTGGCAGTAGAGGTGAAGGTCGCAGTAGAAGTGGTGATGGCAGTAGAGGTGGAAGTATCAGAAGAGGTGGTGGTGGCAGTACAGATGGAGGTGGAAGTAGAGGTGGTGGTGTTGGTAGTGGCAGTAGTGGCAGTGAGAGTGGAGGTGGCAATAGAATTGGTGGAGGCAGTAGAGGTGGTGGTGGCTATATGGGTGGTGGCAGTGGTGAGTGAGGTGAAGGTATGAGTGGCGGCAAAGGTATGGGTAGTGGTGGTGGTATATGTAGTGGTGCCAAATATTGGTGGTGGTGATGGTGTAAATGTGTGGCGGCAGTATAGGTGGTGGTGGAAGAACAGTTGGTGGCGGTATAGGTGGTGGCAAGAATATAGGTGGTAGATGGTATAGTTGGTGGCAGCATATAAATGATGGTGGTGGTATAGCTAGTGTGGCCGAATAGGTTGTGGTGGTGGATTAGGTGGTGGCGGGGATATAAGAGGTAGTGGTGGTATAGGTGGTGGTGACAATATGGTTGGTGGTGGCGGGAAGGTCAGTGCCGGTATGGGTGGTGGCAATGGTATGGGTGATGGCAGCGGTATTGGTGGTGGTAGCAGCATAGGTAGTGGTGGCTGCATAGGTGGTAATGGCAGTATAGGTGGTGATATAAGTGGTACTCTGGTATCAGTGGTAGTGGTAGTATGGGTGATGGTGGTGGTTTAAGTGAAGGTGGCAGTATAGGAGGCAGTGGAAGGAGAGGTGGTGATAGCATTAGAGCTAGGAGGTGGCAGAAGAGTTCGTGGTGGAAGTAGAGATGGTGGTGGCACTCGAGGTGGTAGTGGTAGAATAGATGGTGGTGGCACTCGAGGTGGTAGTGGTAGAATAGATGGTGGTGGCAGTAGAGGTGGTGGTAGCGGTAGAGGTGATGGTGGCAATAGAGTTGGAAGTGGCAGTGAAGGTGGTAGTGGTAGATGAGGTGGTGGGGACAGTAGAGATGGAGGTGTCTGTAGAGGTGGCAGTGGCAGTAGATGTGATGGTGGTAGAGGTCATGGCAGCAGTAGAGGTTGTGGCAGTCAGATATGTGGTGGTGGTGGGATAGGTGGTGAGGGAGGAATAAGTGGTGGTGGCAGTTTAGATCGTGGGACCAGAATATGTGGTAGTGACAGAATAAATGATGGTGGTGTTATAACTGGTAGTGGCAGTATAGGTGTTGGTGGCAGAATAGGAGGCGTTGGTGGTATAGATGGTGGTGGCAATATTGGTGGTAGCTGCGGTATAGGTTGTGGAGGCGGTATAGGTGGTGGTGGTGGTATGGGCTGTGGTGTCGGTATAAGTGATGGTGGCTGTATGGGTGGTTGTGGATGTTTGGGTTGTGGTGGTAGTGTGGGTGCTGGCGGCAGTATGTGTGGTAAGGCATTATTGGTGGGAGTGAAGGAATAGGTGGTGGTGGCAGTATGGGCAGTAGCAGTGGTATGGGTGGTGCGGTGGTATGGTTGGTCATGGCAGTAGAGGTGGTGGTGGCGGTAGAGGTGGTGGCGGTAGAGGTGGTGGTGATGGTATAGGCGTTGGTGGCAGAATAGGTAGTAGCAACAGTATAGGTTACGGTGGCACAGTAAGTGGTGGTGGCAGTAAAGGTGATGGCAGTGTTAGAGGTGGTGGCAGAGGAATAAGCGGTGGTGGTAGTATAGGTGCTTGTGGCTGTTCAGGTGGCAGTATTGTTGAGGGTGGCTGGTATAGTTGGTGGCACCATATAAATGATGGTGGTGGTATAGGTGGTGTGGCAGAATAGGTTGTGGCAGCAGATTAGGTGGTGTCGGGGGTATAGGAGGTAGTGGCGGTATAGGTGGTGGCAGCAGTATGGTCGGTGGTGGCAGTAAGGTCCGTGCCAGTATGGATGATGGCAGCAGTATTGGTGGTGGCAGCAGTATAGGTGGTAATGGCAGTATAAGTGGTGGTGGTGGTACAGGTGATGGTGGCAGTATACGTGGTAGCTGTGGTACAGGTTGTGATGATGGTATATGTGCTGATGCCATATAGGTTGTGGTGGCAGTGTAGGTGGTGGCAGCATAATGGGGGGTGGTGGTGGTATGGGAGGAGGTGAAGGAATGGGTTGTGGTGAGTGTATGGGTTAGTTGCAGTGGTATGGGTGGTAGGGGCGGTATGGGTTGTGGTGACAGTAAAGGTGGTGGAGGCAATAGAAGCAGTGGCAATGGTAGAGGTGGTGGCAGAGATATATGTGGTGATGGCAGCAGACTAGGTTGTGGCAGCGGACTAGGTGGTGGCAAGAGTATAGGTAGTGGTGGCAGTATAGGTGGTGGGGGCAGTGTAGGTGGTGGTGGCGGAATAGGTGGTGGTGGCAGTATAGGTGGTGGCGGCAGTGTAGGTGGTGGTGGCAGAATTGGTGGTGGTGGTGGAATAAGTGGTGGTGGCAGTATAGGTCACTGTGGCAGAATATGTAGTGGAGGTGGAATAAATGATGGTAGCAGCACAGTTGGTGGTGGCGGTATAGGTGGTGGTGGTAGAATAAGTGGTGGCAGCAGTATGGGTGGTAGTGGCAGTATGCGGGTTGGCATCTATATGGGAGGAGGTGGAGGTGGTGGCGGCAGAATAAGTGACAGCAGCAGTTTAACTGAAGGTGGGGTATAGGAGGCAGTGGAAGGGGAGGTGGTGGTGGCATTAGAGTTGGAGATGGCAGAAGAGATAGTGGTGGCAGAAGAGGTCGTGTTGGAAGTAGAGGTGGAGGTGGCAGCAGAGGTGGTGGTAGCAATAGAGGTGAGGTGGCAGTAGAGATGGTGGAGACAGTAGAGGTGATGGTGTCAGAATAGGTGGTGGTAGAGTATAGGTGGTGACAACAGACTGTGGTTGTAGCTGTATGGGTGGTGGTAGCTATGTAGGTTGTGGAATCGGGATAAGTGGTGGCGGCGGTATGGGTGTGGTGGCATTATGGGCTGTGGTGGCCATATAGGTGTTGGTGGCAATATGGGAGGTGGTGGCTATATGGGTGGTTGCAGAGGAATGGGTGGTGGTGGCAATAAGAACGGTGGCTCCGATATGGGTGGTGGTGGCAGTATGGGTGTTGGGACAATTTAAGTGAAGGTGGCAGTATAAGAGGTGCTGGTGGCATTACAGCTGGAGGTGGCAGTAGAAATAGTGGTGGCAGAAGAGGTCGTGGTGGCAGAAGAGGTCATGGTGGCAGTAGAGGTGGTGTTGGTATTAGAGGTGAAGGTTTCAGTGGAGGTAGTGGTTGCAAAAGATGTGGTGGAAGTAGAGGTGGAAGTGGTACTACAGGTGGTGGAGTCAGTAGAGGTAGTGATGGCAGCAGAATTGGAGATGGCAGTAAAGGTGGTAGTGGCAGAAGAGGTAGTGGTAGCATTAGAGGTGGAGATGTCAGTAAAGGTGGTAGTGGTAGCTGAGGGGACTATGGCAGTAAAGGTGGAGTTTTAGAAGAGGCAGTGGTGGCAGTATAGGTGGTGGTGACAGAATAGTTGGTGGTGGTGGTTTAGGTCATGGGAGCAGAATAGGTGGTGGAGGCCGAATAAATGATGGTGAAGTTATAGGTGGTAGTGGCGATACAGGTGGTGGTGACGAAATAGGTGATGCTGGCAGTATAGGTTATGGCAGCACAATAAGTGGTGGCAGAGGTAAGGGTGGTGGTGGCATTAGAGGTGGTGGTGGTGGAATAGGTGCTTGTGGCTATTTAGGTGGTGGTGGTGGTATTGGTGGTGGCTGTATAGGTGGGGGTATAAGGATGATGATGGTATAAATGGTGGCAGTGGTATAGGTGATGGTGGCAATATAGGTGGTGGTGGTGTTATAGGTGGTGGGAGCAGTATGGGTGTTGGTGGTGGTAAGGGGGGTGGAGGTGGTAGAGATGGTGACGATGATAGAGGTGGTAGCTGTGGTATACTTGGTAGTGGTGGTACGGGTTTGGTGGAGGAGTTGGTGGCGGTGGTGATATGGGTGGTGATGGCTTTATATGTGGTGATTGCAGTGTAGGTGGTGTCATTGGAATAAATGATGGCAGCAGTATAGGTATTTGCTGCACTATAGGTGGAGGCGGCAGTATAGGTGGTGATGATGGTATAGGTGTTAGCGGTAGTATAGGTAGTTACAGTGGGATAGGTGGTGGCAGCAGGATAGATGGTAGCTGTGGTATAAGTTGTCAGGATATTATAGGTGGTGGTGGTGGAATGGATTGTTGTGGCAGTATAGGCGGTGGCAATGATATGAGTGGTGTTGGCAGTATGGGTAGTGGTGGAAGTGAAGATGGCAGTATAGAAGGTGGTGGAATGAGAGGTGGTTGCACTAAAGCTGGAGGTGGCAGTAGAGCTAGTGGTGGCAGAAAAGATCATGGAGGAAGTAGAGCTGGAGGTGGCAGTAGAGGTGGTGGGAACAGCAGAGATGGCAGTAACAGTAGAGGGGGAGGTGGCAGTAGAATTGGTAGTAGCAGAAGAGATGGCGGTGGCAGTAGAATTGGTGGTGGCATTAGAGGTGAAGTTTGCAGTAGAGGTGGTGGTGGCAGAAGATGTGGTGGTGGAAGTAGAGGTAGAGGTGGCAATGGTAGAATAGGTGGTGGCAACGGTACAGGTGGTGGTGGCGGAATATGCGGTGGCTGCAGTTTAGGTCGTGGGGGGGGGAATATGTGGTGATGATGGAATAAATGATGGTGGTGTTATACGTGATTCTACCTGGAAAATATTAAATGACATAGGAAGCATCAAAAGAAGATGGAAGGAACACACAAAGTCACTATATCAAAAAGAATTGGTCGGCATTCAACCATTTCAGGAGGTAGCATATGATCATGAACGGATGGTACTGAAGGAAGAAGTCCAAGCTGCACTGAAGGCATTGGTGAAAACCAAGCCTCCAGGAATTGATGGAGTACCGGCTGAGATGTTTCAACAAACAGATGCAGTACTGTAAGTGCTTACTTGTCTATGCCAAGAAATTTGAAAGACACTTACCAGGCCAACAGACTGGAAGAGAACCACATTAATCCCCTTTCCAAAGAAAGATGATCCAATAGAATGGGGAAATTATTGAACAATATCATTAATAACACATACAAGTAAAATCTTGCTGAAGATCATTCAAAAGCAGTTGGAGCAGTACATTGACAGGGAACTGCCAGCAATTCAAGCTGGATTCAGAAGAGGATGTAGAATAAGGTATAGCACTGCTGATGTCAGATGGATCCTGGCTGAAAGCAGAGAATACCAGAAAGTTGTTTGTCTGTGTTTTATTGACTATGCAGATGCATTAGACTGTGTGGATGATAATAAATTACGGATAACATTGTGAAGAATGGGAATTCCAGAACCCTTAATTGTGCTCATGATGAATCTGTACATAGACCAAGAGGCATGGTTTAAAGTCAAGAAAGATTTGCATCAGGTTGTATCCCTTCACCATACTTATTCAATCTGTATGCTGAGCAAATAATCTGAGAAACTGAACTACGTGAAGAACAACGTGGCGTTAGGGTTGGAGGAAGACTCATTAACAACCTGGGATATGCAGATGACACAACATTGCTTGGAAGAGAACTTGAAGCACTTACTGATGAAAATCAAAGACTACAGCTTTCATTATGGATTACATTTCAACATAAAGGAACAAAAATCTTCACAACTGGACTAATAAGCAACATCATGATAAATGGAGAAAATATTGACGTTGTCAAGGATTTCATTTTACTTGGATCCACAATCAATGCCCATGGACGCAGCAGTCGAGAAACCAAAAGACGAAAAAGTTCACACACAAAATGTAACAATCTTTGTTGGTTACCAGGGATGGAGGGGTGGGGGGGAAATACTAAATAGGCAATAGATAAGTGGTATCTT